ATGTTGAGGGGTGTCCTGGAGATGCGTTTCTTGGACGCATACTCCATCACTCTCACCTCTTGTCACCCATTCGTACTCGGTAAGAGAGTCTCTTCTTCCAGTTTCATTTGGTACCGCAATCCTATATTCACCTGCACCTTCCACCGTTGGGCTTTAGTCCCAACTCTCAGGTCGGGCCCTAGTATTTTCCAGCATACCGCAGTTTTCGTCGGGTCTTCAAGCCAGGAACCTGCGGGGAGCGCGTCATCTATTTGTAAGACTTGAATCCAGTGGGCAGGGGTGACCTCCTTCATTAGCAGAAAATGCGCCAGAACATTGTGCAGTCTCGGGAGCAAAGCTCGCAGGCGGTTGTTGGAGATCCAATTATTTGTTTCTGTATCCCATATGTCCCTTAGTTGGATCACTCCTTTCTCCACCCAGGATCTCCCAAAGGAACCAGTGTTCCCATCCGCCATTATGCTTTCTCCATCTCCCCCCTTAACAAAGGGTTCTTCAAACAGTACGTGACTTAGTATCTGGGATCTAGTCGTCGGTTCTTCTAGAAGTTGTGGTTTTAACCTGCACTAAGCGTATAATATACTTTTCCAAACCTTGGATTTTGGGTGTCTGTGACAAAATGAGTCTATCAATAAACATAGCCACACATGGTCTTTTTTTTTTTTTTTTTTTTTTTTTGCAAGAATAGCCCTTGTGTAAGCTCTCTATCCCGACGGTGATAACAAAACCGTCGGAATTGAGGGCTTATCTGCCAGGCTGCTCCATCTATTGGTGGGGAGCGGCACCTGCTGGAAACCGGGTCCAGCGTCCCGTTGATACATCTTGCAACACAGAGACTTTCAATCATTGTTCCCAGGGCTGTGCTCATTTCAGTTGTCAGTCTGGGGCTCCGTTATCCCATGGAGCTGCCAGTAATACCCATCCCATCTTGGAGCGCCCCTTGTCTTATTTACACAGCCCTATTCAGCAGCCCCCTGATCATTATTACAACGTTTGTCCTTGTAAAACCCTTTAAACCTTATACCCTCTCAAAACCCTTTAAACCTAAAAGCCATTATACGTGCCCGGAAAAAGTTGCAGCCAAACTCGTGGCTACAGCCTGTTACCAAATCTGAAATTCTGATCCAGCCCCTCTTCGAAAATCCGTTCATTAGGAAACATGATAACAGTTGGTTTGCAGCAGATTCAGCAAGCAGCAGCTTTGGACGCAGTTGGATAGAGAGAGGGGTACTAAGGATTGCTGATATTTGGGATGATCTTGAGAACAGATGGCTTTCGCCATCAGAACTTAGAAATTTATTGGGTGTTGTATGGCATGTTGAAGAACGCAGGGGGGGATCTGATCGATGTAATACCAGAACAATGGAAGTATCTCCTGAGCCCTGAGGGGGTGGACCCCCCGGGTACATGGTATGTCAGCCAGGATCCGACAGACACAAATTCCTTTTGGAAATTGGAGAGCATTGACTGTGTCGGTAAGAGATCCTTTCAGCATTGGACTGGCATACGAAAAGACCATCCTACTCAGTTGATCCAACAAGAGGGGATCTCTCACCCTCCTCTCTCTGGTGGCCTGAATCAAATTCGGGTTTAGGAAACATGCGATGAGGAGGGAAACTGGACTTCCCAAGTCTTTGCGTATGGCCTCCTGATTTCCAGCCTCCGGATAGACCGTAAACTGTTGGGCTGGAAAGGAGAAGGTCCAGAGGGTGAAAACTTACCACTTTCATCTTATTCGGTAACCTTGGGGTACAAGATCCAGACCCCCTGTTACATGATGCGCTTGCACACGCGGGCCATTTTCCAGGCCCTGCGTCCTTCAGGCCGAAAGCCTGAATTTCAGGCCAAAAGCCTGAAAACCAGGGCTTACAGGCCCCAAGTCGGTTCAGCCCGAAAGCCCGAATTCTAGGGCCTACGGTCCCTATGTCGTTTCAGATTAAAAATGGCAACAGCCTCTTTAGCCTGAAGGCCATTTTTGGTCGTTCATCAGAACGACCGGCCCTGAAACTCAGGCACCCGAACCAGGGTTTAGGGAACAGGCTATTCTTAGCCTGTTTCCACGCCAGCCTCAAGCAGCTGCTGCAGCGCCAGCCCCTGGCACACTTCGGCATTGGCAAGAGCAGCCTCCTCGGCCTGGCTCGCCCTTCAGGCAGTCAGGAGGCAGGCCGAGGTAGTACATAGGAA